GGGGGAGTTGGATGCTGCCAGGGCCGCGGACCGGCCTGGGGGCTCGAGAAAAAGGGCCATCCGCGGAAATCCGCATGGCCTGCTGCCAACGGAGGGGCAGGCCCCCGCCCCTCCCAGGTGGTCCTGCTCCCCTTGGGGGCGATCGCCCCGGGCGCGCCTGTCCGCCCCCCCCCCCCCACCCACCCCTCGCACGCCTCGGGGGCAGACGGCCGGGAAGCCAGAGCATGCAAGAAGAAAGACCGCGGCAATGGCCGGCCCGGGGTGGCCTCACGGCACACCCCTCCTCTTGCCATTCCCATTCCGCCCCTCGCTCGCCTCTTCCCCCTCCCCGACCCTCGGCCGGCTTCTCCCTCTCGCGGTCTCGGCACGCAGGCCTCGCTGCACCATCCCCCCCAACAATGAGCAACTCCTTCGCGCGATCTCAGCTGGAGAAGTACGGCTGGACACAGGGCAAGGGTCTCGGGCGCGCTGGGCGCGGCCGGACCGAGGCCATCAAAGCCAACATCAAGCAAAACACTCACGGTGTGCGTTCCAATGTCCCGGCCAGCCACCCGCCCGCCGTGTAAGGGGGGGGAGGGAGAAGGCGAGGATCTCCCCTTCATGCATGCGCCCGCTCACACGATGTTTGTCGGCCCGTTGCCTTGTCTTGCCTGTGGCAGATTGGCCACCGGAACCAGCAGTTCGACTTCAATCACTTTGACAGCGTGTACAATCGGGCGTCGAGCAATCTCCAGATCATTGGCGCCACGTCGCTGGCCGGGTCTTCCTCCGACTCGGACAGTGACAGTGACAGCGATGCGCCCGCCGCGCGGAGTGCTCTCACGCAATCGGAGACCACCACGGTACGTGTTGGTGGCCTGGCAGAGGCTTGGGGGGGGGGGGGGGCGTTTGCGCTGCCTCCCTCGAGGCTGCGATCGCTGACAACCCTTCCGCCGGTCGCGTGTCCCCTGTGCACAGACCTCCGAGCGGGTGATCTCCTTCTCGCGGAAGGATAGCAACCTCTCGCGCCGGGAGCTGACCTCCATCATGACGGAGCGCATGCTGTTTACTTCTTCGGGCACCCTGGGCGGGGGGCTTGGCTTCACCGGCGATTCGTCGGATTCGGACGCGGACGCGGACGCGGGCCGCGCGCCGGGGCTCGGAGCCTCGGCTTCGGTTGCCCCTGCCCCCAGCACCTTCATGGGCTTCGTCAGTAGCGGGTATGTGTGTGCCGCCTGCCGGCGGGCTTTGCTTCCGGGGGCCTGCATTTGGTTACTGACCTTGGACACGCCGCTGCATGGGCGCTCCTCGGCCTGGCCCTGCGCATGGTGGTACGTGGCCTTGCGCAGCCTCCAGAATACCGAGCGGCTGGCAACCACCTCGAGCGACTCCGACTCCAGCGATGGCGATGACACCGACGTTGAGAATGCGCTCGAGCATTCGCGGGCGAAGGAGAACTCCCTGCTCGACGCCTGTGGGGGGATTCGCATCGGCCACCGTGGCTCCTTCAAGCAGGAGGGCAAGGAAGCGCGCCTGGCTCGGCAGGAGGCCGAGTATCTCCGGTCGATTGGCCTCCTGCCGCCGGAGGTGCCGGAGGCGTCGACCGAGGACACCTCCAAGCGCAAGCGCTCGGACACCGATGACGCGCCGCCGGCCAAGCTCCGCAAGAAGGATGCTGCCAGCAAGAAGGAGGCCATCCAGGCGGCCACCAAGGCTGCCGAGAAGGCCGCCAAGAAGGCCGCCAAGAAGGCCGCCAAGAAGGCCGCTAAAAAGGCCGCCAAGAAGGAGCTCAAGAAGGCCGCCAAGAAGGCCGCCAAGAAGGACAAGGAGGCAGGGAAGGAGGGCAAGACCGTTGGCAGCTCCGCCTCCTCGCCATCTGAAGACCTCCAGCGGAAGCTTGAGCGGAAGATCCAGAAAGCCGCGCGGAAGAAGACGGCCTCCGACGCGGCCTGAGAAGTGTGCGCGCGCAGGCGTGCCCCGGCCGGCAAAATACGCGCACATGCCGCGGCGCTGCATGAATATAGATTTCCCCCGCCCCTCCCCCCCGGAAAAACACATCTTTTTTAGTGCTCCCCAAAATACATGTACCCACTCTGGTGTGTAACGGTGGTGGGCAGAAGGGGGCTTGTATTTTAAATCCGCCCCTTGGAAGTCGGGCGAGTCGGGCACCGGGGAGAGGAGGCGGCCGGGCCCTGCGGATCGAGCGTCCCCACGCGATCGGGTGCCCGAGAGGGCGGGCCCTCAAAAGTTTGGGCCTTTGCGGTCTCTGGAAATCCCTCCGAAGCAGCACTCCTCCTCCCTTCGCTTGGTCCCCTCATCTCTTTCCTCCCCTTTGCCCGGTCCCCCGCGTGGCATTTGGACCGCTCTCACCGATACCACCCTCCCTGTCCCTGCCTCTCTTTGACTGCCCCTCACTCTCCTCGCGGGCGCACGCACGCATCCGCGCATCATGGAAGAGCACATCTCTCCCGACTACTATGATTTGGATGATATCCTCGCCGAACAGGAGGTGCGCACCTGCTGGCTTCCCCTCTGCCATCCCTCCAAAGCCACTGACACGCGCACGCGTGCCCACGCGCTCACCCATATCCATGGCGGGGCCTGTGCTGTTGGGGCTCTTTTTTTTTTACCCCCTCCAGCGCGTGACCTGCCAGGTGCGCCTCCGACTGCGCTCGTCGGATCTACATCTGATTGGCCTTGGTGAGCCGGTTGACCGAAAGACCAAGCAGTTTGAGATCCCCTTTTGGTTGGCCCAGGGGCTGGAGAGCAAGTACGTGCGGCCATCGGCCGATTCCCGCGCATTCGCCCACACACGCACACACACACACATACGCCCACATAGACAAGCACACAACACATGGATGCACGCTGCTGCTCCCTCCTCTCATTCGCCCGCGTCCTAACCCCACCTAGGATGGTCGTCACGACAAATGTCCCACGTGCGTTTGGGCCTCGCGCGGGAGCCGCACTGAAGGCGGACCCTGTTGGTGCTGATCTGCGCACGGTCGAGGGTGGCGGCAGTGGGCAATACTTCCGTCTGGGCCAGAAAATCGCCACGCTGTGCGTCCTCCATGTCACCCTTCTTCCCTTTTGTCATGTTGCCCGCTCCCGAGCCCCTGACGCCATTCGGTTGCTGCTGAGCAGGAAGCAGGATTATGCACTGGGTGAGATGCTCCACGAGGTACGTGCCCACAGGGCAGCCTGGCCCCCCCCCCTTTCAGTAGGCTCCCCTTTCGGCCCCGCCCTGCTGCTGGCCCTTCCTCTCCTCCCGCCCCGTCGGTCCTTCTGACGCCTCTTCGATGGGATGTCCCTCTTCGCTGCTGTCCATACGCATGTCTCAATGGCCCAAAGGCCTACACTTCGCGCCTGTCGCATGTCCTGCACACGGCCCATCGGGCCATGGCTCGTGACGTGTCGACCGATCTGGAGAGGCTCGATGCCTGCGAGCGCGAGGGTGCGTTCCTTTCACATCCAAGCGCGCACGCACACCCATACATACATGTGTATATATGTACATACACATATGTGTATATATGCACATACACATATATGTATATATGCACACACACATATATATACACGCACGCACGCACGCACGCACGCACGCACGCACGCACACATACACGCACGCGTGCAAGCACACGTGCCTATGCCTCCTCGACAGACGGCCATCTGGCCCGATAGCTTGACCACTGACCCGCCGACGTACAGTCTTCCGCTTGGCATACTGGGCCGCGTCGATGTCCTCGCATTGGCGCAAGTCGGCCGGTGTCAGCGGCCTGAACAGGCTAACTGCATCCACCTTATCACGCGAGGTGGGCGGCGCGGCCGCGGCCGCGGCCAAACGCAACCTCCCCGGGGACTCGTCCTTCCGAGCGGCGGACACTCGCGATCCGGCCGGCGATGCTTCTGGCGCGGCCTCCCTGACAGGCTACGAGACGGCCGCCTCGCTTGCCTTGGCCGTCACGTCGACCACCCAAAAGAAGGCACGCTTCGGATGAGCATGCAATGCCGACGGCGACCCTGAGGATGAGGATGGGCCCCTCGGCCCTGCCTCTGCCCTGACGCCCGACCGCGGCGGCATGCATGGAAATAGGAACACATTTTTTTATTTGATACACTCTGCTTGTTCGTGGCCTTGTGTGCGCCCGAGTGGGACCCCGCCCAGGGGCCGACAGCCGGTGTCGGGGGACGGAAGATCCCCAGAGGCAGACTCACTCCTCTTCCTCGACTGGCAGGTTGATTTCTATGCGTGCACATGCGCGTGGGTCGAACCGTCGGAAGGGCAGGCGGAAGGGAGGCGGTCAGTGTGCGATGGAACAGGAGCCCCACAACCGGGGGGGGGGGGGGGGGAAAGGGCCGAAGAAAGGAGGGCGAGGGGGGAGCAACCCCGGGGCAAGGAGCAGGCAACAGGGGAGAGGGCAACACGAGGGGGCCACGGCGGCAGGCCGGATGCCACACGCACTGATGACACCGGTGGCCACATCGCGCTGGAGGAAGGCCCCATAGCGCGAGTCGATGTCGGTGCGCAGGGCAGTGAGCGTGGCCCCCAGGTCCTTGATGGACTTCAGGGTGGGGGGGTCCTTCTTCCAGGAGTGGAAGCAGTTGACCACGTCGAACACCAGCATGTAGGGGGTCAGCAGTCGGCCGGCCATGATGGCCGCCGAGGTGAGGCCCCCGCTGAGGGTGAAGTTACTGCTGTCAAAGCGCTGGAGCATGGTTTTGGACGCCTCGCCGGCATTCAGCAGCGCCACCAGGGCGTCGGCCGTCACGGTGTCCATGTTGACGGTGGACAAGTCCCCCGGCAGGGGGTGCTCCGTAAATTGGAAGACCACGCGCAGCAGGACCAGGGCCACGCGCGGCAGGATGTCCACCTGGTAGACGGCCGCCGTGTCGGCCAGGCTCGGGGCCGCCAGGGCGATGGCCGGGTCTTCGTGTGCCGCGATGGCCAGCCCACGCAGGAGGACCTCGAGGGACATGTCGGTGCCGGGGCTGCCCGGCTGCGTGAGGGCCTCCCCGGCCGGGGGGCCGGCCGGTGGCGAGCGCTTCAGCCCGAGGGCATGCAGGCGCCGGCACTCGCCCAGCAGCGTGTCCAGGGCCGGCCCGGCCTCGGCCGTGGCATCCAGCCCGAGGAAGGCGTGCGACAGGAGCAGGCACAGGCCGAGCTGCTGATTGGACAGCGACCCCACCTCGGCCGTGGTCGGGAAAAGCACGCGGCCCATGTGCTGCTGCACCAGCAGCGAGCACTCGATGTAATTCAGGTAGCACACGCGCAGGGACTCGGCCCATTCGATGATCTGCTTTTGGCGGTTCTTGTTCATGACGAAGTCCGTGATGCCGGTGCCGAGGGTGGTGGCCGCAGATGCCACCAGCACCCCGGCCGCCAGGGGGGCCAGGGGGGTTAGCAGCAGCAGCCCCGACACCACGGTGGCCGTGGTGCCGACAGTGTATGCCACCGAGACGTCCTTATTCTGCTCGGTGGCCGAGGCGATGGCCTCCGCGCACGAGTTCTCCAGCTTGACCACCAGATTCAGCAGCTCCATCAGGACGCTGAAGAAGTCCAGCCGAAGGTAGTAGGGGGAGGCCGTGGCGGGGGCTATGGACCCGGCGTCGGGGTCCCGGGGAGACATGATGGGGGCCAGTGACGAGGGGGGAGCAAAGAGAGAGAGGGGGGGGCGGGAGGGGGGAGGCGAGGAGGAGGGGAGGCGAGGAGGAGGGGAGGCGATGTGACCGGTCTCGCGGCCGGGGGAGATCGCGGCACCGGGATCTGAAAAAAAAAAAAAAAAACTTGCCGCTTCTGTGCCCGGCCGGGGAGGGCCGGGCCGGCTGTCTCCGCTCCCGGGGGGGGGGGTGCGCACCATTGCATATCGGCCTGCTGCCGGGGCGGCCGCGGGGCCCCGTCGAAAGGTCCGAGTGACTGGCCGGCGATCGAGACGCCGCCGGCCAAATTAAACCGGCGGCCTGCGTGTGAGGGTCGCGAGGGGCTTGGCGGTGGACTCCTCCTGTGGTTGTCCCGCCCCCCCCCCCCGGGGCGCGGGCAACGCCGGAACGCTGGAACGCTCCACCCCCGGGACAGCCACACATCCCCACGACCGTCGCAAACGCATGCACTTGCATCAACACAGAAAGTGCCGGGAGAAGCCCCGGAAGAAACACCAGGAAGCTGGGCAGGCGAGAGCGAGGGCGACAGAGGCGCCGAAGGACGACGAGCAGGAGCAAGGGGGGGGCGACCCGGAATCGCACGAAACCGCGCAGTGCCCTGGGGTGGGGGCCACAAAAGATAATTGAGTCCTCATGTGATCTCGTCGCACGTGGGATCGAGAGCCTCGCGCTCTCGCGGGCTCGGCGGGGTGAGGGACCGATTCCCGCCGGCGGACCGGCGTCCGGGGCGACCCTGCGCACCATGGGCTTGGCGATCTGGGCCTCCTCCGGGCCGGTGACCGGACCGGAGGGGAGGGGGCGCTCTCAAGCGTGCGCGCGGCGCGCCCTTGTGCCGGCAGTCCCCCGCCCCCTCCCCTCGGGCCGCCGGGGCCGGACAACGACGTTCCCACAACATGGTGAAAAGCTCTCCCCGAAAGGCAGGTCTATTCTTCCGCGGAGGGCGGGGTGGATGGCCTCCGGGAAAAGTCCGGATAGTGAGTGTCCAATATCCGCCGGAAGGTCTCACGCGGGATGCCCAGCTTGGAGGGGATTTGCTGGACCGGGACATTGGCCGCGATGAGCTCGCCCACCCGGGCCACTTGGACCGCCTGCCGGGCTGGGGTCCGCGGCGGCCGCGCAGGCAGGTACGAGGGAAAGTGCCGGGCCAGGAGCTGTGTGACCTCTCTCCTGGGCAGGTCGGCAGCGGTGGCCAACTCGGCCACCGACAGGCCTGGGCCCTGATGCTGCATGACGGCCTCCAGGCGCTCGAGCCTGCCCGGAGCAGGGGACGGGGCTGCTGGCTCCCGGCCGATGGGGGCCTCGTGCGCCGCCGCCGCCGCGGCTGGCCCGGCCGCCAGGTCGTGGCCCGGCTCCGGGGGGTGCGCTGACGAGGCAGACGTCGGCGCGGGCGCCGGCGGTGCCTCGGCCGAAGGCGACGTGTCCGGGACCGGCGGCGGCGGCGGCGTCGCCGGGGGAGCGGCGTCCTCCCCGGCCGATGCCGCGCGCGTGGCCGCGAGCCGAGCCAACATCCGGGAGACGGTGGACACCGAAACATTGAGCCTCTGGGCCAGCTCCCGCTGGGTGGGCGGAGGATCGGCCCGGGCGGCCAGGATGGCGAGCAGCTCCTTCTGCCGGTTCTGCATGCGGCCCAGCCGGCGAGAGTATGTCGGAAAGTGCCGGGCAATCAGCGCCACCAGGGTCTCCTGCTTGATGTCCAGCCGCCGGGCCAGGTCCTTGTCCGAGAGGTTGGGCTCGTTGATGAGGAGGGCGCCCAGCTGGTCGATGAGCCCCTGGCGCCAGGCGGCCCGCCGGTCGAAGTACTCCGGGCAAAGGCGGTTCAGGTGGGAGAAGCACGTCGACACCGGGATGCCAAGCATGGCCGCCAGCTCGACCCCGCTCTTGGAGGGGTTCGCCAGGGCCACATGGCGGAAGCGCTTGGCGTAGGCATCCGAAAGGCGGAAGTGCGTGGGCCTCTTGAGGAGGTCCTGCAAGTTGCTGTCCCCCAGGAGGCGGGCCAATTTCTTGGGCGACACCCGGGGCCGGATGTTGGGCAGATGCCGTAGGCACCATGCCCGCTCATGCGGCGACAGGGGGATGGCCTCCAAGGAGGGATGCAGGGCGACAAAGTCCAGCACTTGAGACATGAAGGCCGGGAGCTGGTCCTTGCTCGGGCCCTCGGGCAGCATGGCCAGCTGGCCGGCCGTCAGGCGAAAGGGCATATCCGGGTGGCAAAGGATCATCAAGCACCGGTGGGAAACCGCCCTCTCCCAATCATCGCCGGTGGTGGGGGTGGTGGGGGCGGTGGTGGAGAAAAACCCGGAGGCGCGTTCGCCGGCACAGGGCGCGTGTATCAAAAAACCGAGGGCCGGGGATCGGGCCCCGGCCAGCAGCCGGGTGAATGGGCGACCAATGGCACCACCAGCCACAGTCAGGAACATGCCGGGGCGCAGGGTCCAACACGAAAATATCCCAGGGGATCTATCTTGCGAAGGGGAGAAAAGACCGATTGGGGAGGAGGGGCGGCGCGTGGGGCGGGGGGGGGGGAGGAAATTGTGTCGAGGGCATCTGGACCGAAACACAGGAGGGGCCCACCCCCCGGCACCCAGGCGGCTGATGAGGCCGGAGCGAGGGTTGGCACTTGGTGAATGGTGCCAATGCATACGGACTCTGTGCGGGCGATGTGATCTGGGACTCGTGTGACATGTGTATATTTTTTTTCGGGCAGAGCTCCCACCACTGGGGGGCGGCCGGCTCGGCGGGTCCGCCCTGCCTGCTCGCCTCCCCCTGGCCCCAGGGGGAAGCCGGCGGAATCGAGGGCAAAGTGCATCTGACGGTTCGGCTGGCCGCGATCACCGCTGTGGGTTAGGAAGGCATCCCCACTCCCCGTGCTCGGACATCAACAGGACAAAACCAGACGGGGAGGGGGCCGCGGATACCGGGCGGCGGGACAGGGCAAGCACCCAGCAGCAAGGGCTGCTCTCGCTGGGCGAGGGAGCAAGGGGCAGCGGGGGGGGGGGGGGGGGGG